TTTTTCAGGTTTGAAAAACTACGCAGGACCGACCTTTGAAAAACAGTACGGTCCTGCAAAAAAAAGAACGGATGGCCACCGTAGATATATGTATCTCCTTTATGTAGGAAGCTAAACCCATTAAATTGTGTTACCGGTTTACGTACCGATCACACAGCAGTGAAAATCACTTAGATTGGTGCTATATAAGGTATATCTTCCATACCTCTGATTGTTTAGATATGATTTCTTATATATGTATCTCCTCTATCTATGTCTGCTGTGAATATATAAATTTTTTCAAATGCAGTAATCTGTTAACGTAAAATTTTCAGATGCTCATGAAAGGTATGGAGCCTTCGGCATAGCCGAAGACAGCGCTGCTCTTACTTGTTTTATAATGTATTAATCATTTGTCGGAACCGGAAGAATCGGACCACTATAACATATAGCTCCCATACAACTGATTGTTCAGATATGAGATTTTTCGTTATAACTTCTCCATTTATGCGGCTAGGAACATGAAATTTTGCAATACTTCCACCCATTATCAACGGAAAACTTAGAGTGAAAATTACAAAGATCGGGTCACTATAACCTATAGTTCCCATACAACTGATTGTTATAACTCCTCCATTTAAGTAGCATGAAGTTTTGCACTGTTGTCACTCATTATCAAAAGAATACTTTCAGTGAAAATGGCGAAGATCGGGTTGCTATGACCTAGAGCCTCCATACAACTCATTGTTCAGATATGAGATTTTTTGCGAGAACTTCTCCATTTCGCGCCATTTTCACTCATTATTCTTTCCATACCTCTGATTGTTTAGATATGGTTTTTCATATACATATGTATCTCCACTATCTATGTATTCTGTAAATCTGTTACAATAAAATTTTCAGATGTTCATGAAAGGCATAGCCGAAAACAGCGCTGCTCTTACTTGTTAATTTTTAGATTATTCTCACTTTTTGTGTATTCTTTAATTTCCGTTAATTTAAATTCAGTTGAGTTTGACACTTTTCAAGATTTTGCCAGCAAAAATTCTTCTGACTAAATCTGACTACTTCGAACTGAGGGCACTCTAAGGCTTTCTGCTCATTGGTCGTCCAATCATAGTTGAGTCATAGTTATCGTCATGAAGCAACGATTACATGACGATTACACTTCTGCACACTTGGTCGTGATATTTCAATTCATTTGGCGTCTAAAAATTCACTTGGAGCAGGTATTTTCAGTTTTTTTTGGTTGATATTTTCGCGAAATATTTACAAAAACCTGCAATTTTTTAAATATAGACTGTGCTGCAACATTTCTAGACGTAATTTTCCAGTAATATCTCTTCTTTTCTTTTCCTGGAATGTGTTTTGTGTATGCACACAGAGACTTAATACAATTTCGTCATATTTTATAGTTAAAACGCTCTTATTTATTAAATTTTAATGCAATTATCCACTTTTTAATAATTTCCACAGATTTTATGCAAAAAAATACTAATTTTTATACAATTTTAATGCAAATATTAACTTTTTCACTAATTTTCCCCCATAAAATGTAAACAAACAATGCGTGCACAACGATTAGCAAACGACAGTGCCGTACTTATCCGTTTCTGCATCTTCTACGATTTGCCGATAACTAGCCGATAACGACAAGTGTGCAGATCTCCTTTGAAATGCATGTGCTCGGCTCAAAATTTCAGGGCGAGACGATAACGCAACTATGATTGGACGACAAGTGTGCAGATAGCCTAACTGAGTGTTTCCCTCTAATTTTTGCTGTAATTCTCGAGTTAAAGAACGCTTTTTGGACTAAATCTGACTACTTCGGACTTTTTCTGACTATTTCTGGGAGATAAGGAACGCAACTATAGACATGACACCACTGTGTTGTGTATGACATTGTATGACGATGGGTACTGTGGTGACACTCTGATGGCGCCGTGTTCTAATCAGGACATTGCGCTATTGCGCTGACGCCACAGGAGGCGCCGGCGTTATTGAGCTAGCGCCATAAAAATTTCGCTATCACCCATGTCTAGCTGCGGCAATACTGACTTTGTGCACCAAACAAAGAGCGTAAATTTTCCTCATATACACAATAAGCCATCGATCGGACTTTACTCCGAAATAATTTCAAACCTAGTCCTCTACTCCGCTCAATTGAAAATCTGCTCTGTTTTGTTGCATCAACAAATTTACTCTTCAAATTGAAAGGAAGTGGGGTTTTTAATAGCAAATTAAAAGTTATATTTTACCTTTTTATCGACACGATTGTTAAATTGGTGAGTTACAGCACCTTTGCAAATACACTTGAATTCGTGAATAGGCCCTCACAATCGCCGGATTTGAACCCGATCGAAAAAGATTGCTCTGTCAAAAGTTCTGTAATTGCGTCGTTGCCCACCGATGTAACAATTGTCGCGTTAAAGAAGGAATGAAACAGCTTTTTATCAATTTTAACCAAGACATTTTAACTTTAATGATAATTGCTCGCTGGATTAAGGCGCCTTTACAAGGGCCGATTTTCTAGTAGATTTTTGTCGTTCAACCAAAATCGACCCGTGTAAATGACATCTCAACCGTAAAATGTAATTGCTTTGGCTAGTCGATTTTCCAGTCTACAGAAATCGACCCTTGTAAAGGCAGCTTTAGCCCCTTATTTAGTCCCAGAATACAATGACACGAGGAGAAATGAATTGTTATTTATAAAGACAAGAAATGCAAATCTACTCCGAAAACTTGATTTTTACTCCCATTTTGGCATCCGAACCCAGATAAGACCGCTCGATGAAGGTCAGCTAGTGATCAGTATTGCCAAGTTTTTTATTTAAAAAGCACCAAAACACTGAAAATAGCGCAATTTTCCAAAAAAAAACACCAAATTTGGGTTGCTATGTTTAATGGTATTTTTGCATATAAAGTTGTATGTTCTAATATTTTAAGTAATGTCACTTGTAAATATTTCCAACTATGCGCAGTTAATTAATTTAATTAGCAAAATGTTTTGTTATTTATAAAACAATTTGCAAAACTTTACTTTGTTTCTCTAGCGGCTTTATTTTCATGCAATTGCTTACTTTTGTAAAAATGCGCACACCCAGCTAATTAGCAAAATATTCTATGAATTCCGTGATAGAGACTGTGTGAAAATATTGAGTTTGGATTATCTGGGCGCATATAATCCAGAGGAGAAGCTAGGCCAAACACTAACATATGTGTAAGTCAACGGATAAAGTTTTCCGTACGTTTGGAATGAATAAATGAATGAACAAAAGAAATACAATGTCACCACAGAATCACGTTTTTATTATAAAATTACCTTGAAGGGGGGCCAAGGAACGAAACAAGCTACTAAATAACTACTAAATACTAAAAATATTTTGCGTTTTAATTCCCTAAACGCACTTAATTTATTGCGAAAGGCACAAAGTTGGCAACAGTTATAGCAATGTCAAATTTGCTCATCTTCAAGCATGGATAGAGAGTGAACGCCTGCAAAATAATTCGAACGTAGCCAGCAAAAACTTTTAACTTTTTTGGGAAGTACTTATTTTTGTATCAATGGAGTAATGCAATACAAGTCGCCTCAAGACAATTTTCGCTTATCCATTGCATTACTGTAATGCAATGGCAAGAAATTTTACATTTATTCGATTACCTCCAATGACATGCACATGTTAAAATAATGCATTCTGTAAACGAAAAGGTAAGCGGTTACTCTCAAAAAGTGGTTCCCCAATCGGGGGTAATCGCTTACCTTTTCGTTTACAGAATGCATTATTTTAACATGTGCATGTCATTGTAGGTAATCGAATAAATGTAAAATTTCTTGCCATTGCATTACGATAAGCGATAATTATCGTGAGGCGACTTGTATTGCGTTACTCCATTGATACAAAAATAAGTCCTTTCCAAAAAATGAAAAGTTTTTGCTGAGTAATTGGCACACTAACACAATCACACTTTCAGCTCGCGTTTACTTGTGGTAGTGATCACATCTGCTCATTCATATGCACTCCCCGTCATTTGAATTGCACACCCTTTCAATCCTTAGTGAATAACTCAGTGAGAGGGCAGGACCAGGATGAATGTATTTGCATAAAAAATTTATTTAAGCAAAAATGTTTTGGGTAGGCGTCGGGGCCAATGATAACCATCAGTTACCACCTCTCCATGGTTGTAAGTCATGCAGAGTCCCTACGGCTTGTAGCGCTGTGGCTTTGCCGCTTAAACTCTATAAGAGTTTTTGGGGGTGTGCGGCAAGCGGGAGTGTTGAGCACCGGTTATTTATTTAAGTTAGAAAATTGGGTAGGCGCTGTGGCCAATGGTAGCTCTTGTACCACCTCTGTATGCCGACAGCAATACAGAGCCCCGTGAGACAACTCCGGAGGAGTTGTGATCAGTGTTGCCACAAAGATTTTTAATTTTTTACCAAACCTCTAAAAAAAAATACCAAACTCAGAAAAAAATTACCAAATTTTTATGAGCCTAATATTCTAAACAAATTGGAAATTATTTTTCGACGTATGTAGATAATACACCACGTCTGGGATTGTGGCCAGCTTAGATCTATTTATATTTTTCGACCGAAAAAAGAGTTCTTCCCATTCTTTTATGACAAACTCATAAAAATGGGGTAGATAATACACCACGTCTGGGATTGTGGCCAGCTTAGATCTATTTATATTTTTCGACAGAAAAAAGAGTTCTTCCCATTCTTTTATGACAAACTCATAAAAATGCATGATGTCGCTGCCGCGTTCAAAAAATTCATAGCACCATCGACTGAGCGTTTAGATAACGAAGACGAACAATTTACAGCTGTGGTTGTCCTTTTCAATGTGTTCCGACTATAACAATTCACAAATATTTTTAATGGCCGGTTGTTCAATGTATTTAACCGGAGCTTCTACCTCTGATTTGTACTAATCAGACATTGAACAATCGACCCTAAAACATAAAAGAAAAAAATCGCTCATAGATTTATAAACAGTTAAAAGGTGTTTAATAGTTCATTTCTACTGCAGTTTATGCCTATTGGAAAAAAGCAGATTACAACTCGAAGGAGGTAGTTGCTCATATTAGGTACAAGCAAATGAAAGGAAAATAATAAAAACGAATAAATAAACATTGCAGATCACCTCTTGTTGAAAATATCTAACCTCTTAACTGTAGTTAAGCGTTTGGTGGAAATGGGCTGTAACATACAGTCTTTTACATAATTTATTTTACATAACTTAAAACCAAAACATGAAACCAGCCAATGTATCGTTAAACGGTAGATAAAATTTACTTTTACTATTTTATAAGTGGGTCATATTCGTACTTAATCGCAAACTTTTAATTAGTCCCGTGAAATTATTTTCTTTCACCATTGGTTCCGGCAGGTAAAAATGATCCAAAACCCAGATTTGTGGGACTGTAGGGGCTGTGATCGAGCCGCCATATTGGGAAAAATGGGTGGTTTCCTGCTATATTGCAAACTCATACTAAAAGTTCCGAGTTGTCAAGGCAAATTGTTACATTAAAGAGCCCTTTCAATTTTTGGCTATCTTAAGGTGTAGATACATACATATGTAAGTACATAAGCAAATTTTTTTGTTTTGTGCAATTGTCAGAAGGTTCAAAGTTATAAATTTTTATATGTAATAAGTTAGTATTAAAAACTTAAAAGAAAAGACTTACGTTAAAAAAATTACCAAATTGAGAAAAAAATTACCAAATTACCAAACTCCTCCTAAAAAGAAAAAAATTACCAGTTTTGGTAAAAAATTACCAAAACGGCAACGCTGGTTGTGATGCATCAAGGGAGTTTGTTGAGCATGATTTGGAGTGCCAGCAATTAACTTCTTTAGTAGGTTTCGTTCTGCGGCAGTTGAGAAGTGCATTAAAAAATGCATACCCAATGAAGAACGAACGAATTATTTTTAAGCACAAGTGCGTGTGTTTATTCGCTGCACTTGGATTTGGGCGGGAGTGCAATATACAAGTGCGTGTGTGTGTTCGCTGTTCTTTGTTTATGCGAGAAATGCATAAGTCGCGTATTCATAGTCCAGCAACTAAGTCGAAACTAACAAAGTTGCAACTTAAATTTAAGTACCAACTTAAAATTTACCTCTATTCATAGTCGCATTTCAGACTTCTACTAAGTAGTTTCGACTTAGTTTACGATATAGCAAAACGAGTGTGAAAATGTATCGATTTTTCTTTACGATATTTTGGAAAAATTACATTTTTATTAAATAATATCAAGTTTGATCATCCGTTTATGTAATTTTTATTTTCATTGCATGATTATGCAAAAGAATAAGGTATCATTTTCTTGTTAATTGTGTGAAATAGCCAGAACAACCGCAGTGATGTGAAGTCGATGTTTATCGAAAGCATGCTGTGAAACATACAAATAGTAGATATCTAAATGTTATGCGTGAAACTGACTTATTATTTGAAAATTTATCTAAATTATTCCAATTATAAAATTGTGATGTAGCTTTATTCGAATTGTAATACGTATTTAATTTCATCTTCCGATTAAAATGGATCGATCTTTGTAAATTTTAATTGGAGATTATTCAATATTATCAAAATCACAAACTTAATTTTTACATATTTCGTCTGTTTTCCCTTAATTTGATAAAATACTTCTTCCTAGTTACGACTTAGTTGCAGCTGTAGCCGAAACTAAATTTTAAGTTGGTACTTAGCCAGAAAAGTCGAAACTAAGGCGACTATGAATAGCTTTAGTTGTGACTTAGAATTAAATTTTAAAATTTTTTACAAATTAAAACTTAAAAGAAAATTTCTTTTCCATTTCTTGGGCAGCATTTTATATGATTTTTTCGTTTTCTTGAGAGCTGGAAACAGTTCTTAAAAAATGCAGTGAATAAGTTAGTAATATTTTTAGAAAAATTTCGGATATGTAGTTTTATAGCCCATTCAATTATAGTGTAATAAAGTGCAAGTTTCAAGTGACTCTAAAATAGCCCTGATTTTTTTTATTTTTTTTTATTTTTTATTGACGGTGCTGCGCCTTTTGTTCCATATAACAATTTTGTCGAGCATACTTTGTATGAGAGAATATGCGCAGCAACCTCACCAAAAATTTTGTCAAAAATCACCGCTATTTTACAGACACTTGAAACTTGCACTTTATTGTACCCCTTTGTTGACATTTTTTTAACTCTGTATAAAGTTTTAAAAACGGACGTAATGAATATTAAATAAACAAAGGGAGAGAGACAGTTCTGTCACGAAGTAAGTTGTAGCACACATTGGTAAAGTGATCAGAGAAAGCCTTCACGCATAAAGATTATGTAGTATCGGCTTTCGTCGATATCGAGGGGGCCTTCAACAACGTCACTCTAGAGGCAATAATCAATTCATAATCTAGGGGTTGAAACCAACCTTATAAGGCGTATCTACATAGATTATGAATATACTTGAGTATTGCCTCTGGAGTGGCATTGTTGAAGGCCCCCTCGTTATCGACGAAGGACCCTACTGCATAATCCTTATGCCTGAAGGCTTTGTCTGACCACGTAATCAATGTGTGCAGGGCGATATTCACCTACCTTTTCTTGGAATAAGCATATTAAGGTCTTGAAAGACAGTCACAAGGAATCGCGTTTCTTATGTACAGGTCTAGCGTTTTTAGCAAAAACGAAGAGAGACTGATAGCCCTAAGATCCCGAGGAAAACGTGAGAACTTTTTTCGGTCTTCGGAACGAACGCAAAACTGACTACCCTCCAAGCCTCCCGCAGTTCGCATAAATAGGATCCAACCAATTACACGACACTTTCAGAGCCCTTTGCAGCTGCGCAGGTACGATGCCATTGGTTCCCGGCGACTTTAATGGTTTGAACGAATTTATCGCCCAGATCATGTGACGATCGTCCAGAAGATCGGAGAACTACTGGACCTGAAGTACAAAATATTGCAAAGAAATACATTTGACTGTACTTCGAGGTACGAAGTACAATAGCGAAAAAAGAAGTACTGCACTTCCGAAGGAAGTACGGTTGGTCACATTAGTAATCAGCCAAATCTGGCAGTGTGTTTTTGGCAATCAAAATTAGCGACGGCGAATGTCGGAATCCGGCTTCTGGCCACTATGCAACTATATACTATGTAGACAAATCTGCATAAATATTGGTCTAATTCTTTACAGTGTTTGTAAAATTACTTCTGTTATAATTAAATCTTTTCAATAACTAAAAAGCGGCACAAATTAATAAACGACATGTAAGCAATGCTCTTAACTACCTTTTTAAAAATATACTTAATCAAATAAAAATAACGTAACATACGTATTTTCTACGATATTGTACAGATTAAACACTGCTGTTTTGATTCACTAAATTATTATCTTATACGATTAGGAAATATTTATGTAAATGTCAATTTAAAAATTATTTGTGTGAACCTCTTGGCATGGACATGGGTAGGTGTAAAGATTGCTGTTGTAGCTGTGCTGCTGGTGGCATAGAAGGTGCTTTTAACATTAGCTTTGGATGTGGTTGTGTTTGTAGTGTTTTTGGAAGTTGTGAATGTAACGGTTGTGATTGTAGCGGATGGTGTTGAAGCGGTTGTGGTTGTAAGGGTTGTGGTTGTAACGGTTGTGGCTGGGTTTGTGGCTGTGACTGTGATTGTGGCTGAACTGATTGCATATGAGGCGTTGATGGATTGCTTTTGCTTGGAGTATTGCCTAAAAATTGAAGAAATAAAATAAACAAATTATAGATAATTGATTTTTTTAAAGCTTGTAAGTACATAACTAACAACAATAATAATAATATTTTTTTTGGGCTTACGCTGTTGCTAAGTATTTGCCCGAGCTCTAATCTTTTGTGTGCGCTCCAATGTTATAACACAAATGGACGAGAGTCAACCGCTGCGGCGCGCTGTTAGAAAACACTTTTCTAATTCAGATATTTTTGTGCTACTTTATTTATTAAATCCGCTTAAGACTAAAGCCTAACAATAAGTAATTAAATCCTATTTCAAAAAATCCATATATAAAAAATACAAAATTGTAAACCTGCTAACGACCAAAAAACATATTTTACTGTAGATGCAAAAAACTAAATATATCTTTAACTCTTAGTCTAAGGGGCAACTCCTACATATAGTTTGTTAATCGCGTGACGTTCTATGGCCTTAATCCAGAACGAATGAAAAAATTACGTTTTTGTGGTTTTATTGGCGAATTTCTAACTTAGCAGGTTTTAGTTTTTGTATTTTCAAAATTGAAGTGGATTTAGCAGGTTTTTTGTATGAATAAAATTGTTTCTATTCTATTTTTTGTGATTACGAGCTCAATTTAAATGTTAATTAAAATAGGATTCCATAGATAAAAACAATCAAATATATAAAATAATACAACAGATTTATTCTTCCGTTTATTGCAACAAAAATAGGCAGTTTATAAAACATATATTAGTAACTATACGTGAAGTATTCCTCTCCCAAATTAATAGTACAAAGTCCACATATAAGATAATTTAAGTAGGAACTCAATAATGCCAGAAAGTATAATACATGTTATTCAATCATGAGGTAAATTGTCATAGTAGGCGTGGTAATCTTCAGGAAGTAATCGTTTGAAATACTGGAGATCTCATACTTTCTGCGAGCAATCGTACGCCTACTCTCGTATAAATTCGGAAGGTGAGAAAACGGCAAGGAAACAGCTACTGGGGATTTTCTTTGCGGTATTACTTCCCATTCGTTGGAGAATCTTAGTTTGAAATGTATGTCGCCACTTGGTGTATACCGTAGGGTACGTATATCAGTTACTTTAGCAGCACCTTTGCCGCGACCGGGACGAATTCTATTAAAGAATTGAACTGTGTTAAAGCTTTTAAAGAACGTGTAACTAAGATAAGTTACGTCATATGGTGTTGGATTTTTTCTAGCTGATCTACATACTTTAATGTATTCTGCAGGAACATGGATATCTATTTTCTTAAGTGCTCGCTCGATAGTGGAATGGATACAATCAGCTTCCATTTAGGTATGGCCTACTTCAAGAAACTTTTGCTCAATAATGATATAGTTATTTATAGCTGTGGATAACAAAGCATTAGCCATAATACAGTTTCTGTTTTGATATGTGCATTCGTCGCTATAAAAATTACTGTAATTGGCTCCCCGGAACTATTATTTGGTACTACATTTTTTTTCTATCAAATCTACCCACACGCTATAAAACTCTTCTGCATTTAATCTTCCTTCTGTTTCGTTCAACAAGTAACAATAATTTCCTTATTTGCTGGCTTGGCTTAAACGCATAAAGTAATACTCTAAGTTAGAATAATAATCGAGCGACAGAAGCACAATATGTTGGATTTAGCAGTTGAATTTGAACTGATTGTACTTAGCAGCTTTACTCATCAAACAATTTTTGACAATTATATTTTTATATTGACGTATTTTTTTTGCTTGCCAACTGCGGAATCACCTACTCCTTCGAACTGCATCAAAAGGCCAATTTTGCCAAAAAACGGATTTAGCAGGTTTACACTCTAAGCCGACGACTTCCTCTTCCGTTTAAACTTGTTGTGAATGACCTAGACGTTTGCGTGAAATAAGATGGTCGGAAAAATATAAGGCTATCAGGAAATTTTCAGAAAATTTTGCTGAAGTTGTAGAAGATTTAGAAAGGCTGTCAACGGAGGGAAACTTCTCCACAAGAAAGTCTGCGAATCAATTTTGTGCTGCTACATATAACAAGGCCGATGTTCATAATTCCTTTAATGGCAATTGCTGAAACTCAATTTTGCTGGAACCTACAGCAAACATTTTGTAAATGAAGACAATAGACCTCATCGCCGTTGGGCAGCATATTGAAAATATTTTGGAAGTGGTTAAGATTGATCGCAGGAATGCAGAAGCAGTCACTACAGAGTTGGTTAACAAATCTGGTATTAAGTTTCGTCCTACCCATGAACGAAAGACACAAGATCACGCGGGAAGGAAAGAACGAAAAAAGTTGTTTTCTAGCTGCCGAAATCTCGACGCCATCTTTGTTGTAAGAAGTAAACAACGAAGAGAACGGAGAAAACCGCGAAATTGTTGAACGCATTAAAAATCATTTTTATTATGCAAATTCTTCTATAAATCATGCCGTTGTGTTAAATTATTCTTTATTTATTATTTGTCACAAGCGAAAATGAAGAAAATTGCAGTAAAAAGCCACCACCAAATTGTAAACAACGAAGAAATGTAAACAAACGGCTAATGTCAAAATCGGTCAACTTTTTTCCTAAATGCGATTCTAACGGGCTACTCTCCTGCCCGCGTGATCTTGTCTTTTTGGTTCATGCCGACTGTTATTGTTGTTTTTTATCAAGTGTTGTTTTCGGGTATGCAGTCCAAACATACACAGACAACATTCGGTTCGCATACAAAAACAATAACAACGTCGGACAACTATTCAACAAAGTAAAATATAGCATTCCAGCCAGGGTTGCCACTGACGAAAAAAAATATTTACCATCCACTTGAAAAAAATCTACCAAATCTGGGAAATATCTACCAATAACTTTTTTATAATTATTTTAACGAAAACCATAGTTTTGTTATTTTTTTATTTGTTTTAATCAAAACTATAGTTTTTTTTTATTTTTCTTTTTTAGTTATTTCAATAAGAATTAAAATTGTTTTTAAGAACTTTTTATTTAACTAGTTATACGGGAGTGATGAAACTAAAGGCAACAATGAATCTTCATTATTTGAAAAACTTCAACTCGAGTTATAATAGGCAAATACTGTGTCTCAAAAAGTGATTTTTTTTAATATTCGCAATATTTTTCGAGTAAACATTTTTTATTGCTTTAACTAAATCCAAAAAAATCGAGGACTCAAACTATATAACGGGTGATTTTTTAAGAGCTTGATACCTTTTTTTTTAAAAAAAACGCATAAAATTTGCAAAATCTCATCGGTTCTTTATTTGAAACGTTAGATTGGTCCATGACATTTACTTTTTGAAGATAATTTCATTTAAATGTTGACCGCGGCTGCGTCTTAGGTGGTCCATTCGGAAAGTCCAATTTTGGGCAACTTTTTCGAGCATTTCGGCCGGAATAGCCCGAATTTCTTCGGAAATGTTGTCTTCCAAAGCTGGAATAGTTGCTGGCTTATTTCTGTAGACTTTAGACTTGACGTAGCCCCACAAAAAATAGTCTAAAGGCGTCAAATCGCATGATCTTGGTGGCCAACTTACCGGTCCATTTCTTGAGATGAATTGTTCTCCGAAGTTTTCCCTCAAAATGGCCATAGAATCGCGAGCTGTGTGGCATGTAGCGCCATCTTGTTGAAACCACATGTCAACCAAGTTCAGTTCTTCCATTTTTGGCAACAAAAAGTTTGTTAGCATCGAACGATAGCGATCGCCATTCACCGTAACGTTGCGTCCAACAGCATCTTTGAAAAAATACGGTCCAATGATTCCACCAGCGTACAAACCACACCAAACAGTGCATTTTTCGGGATGCATGGGCAGTTCTTGAACGGCTTCTGGTTGCTCTTCACTCCAAATGCGGCAATTTTGCTTATTTACGAAGCCATTCAACCAGAAATGAGCCTCATCGCTGAACAAAATTTGTCGATAAAAAAGCGGATTTTCTGCCAACTTTTCTAGGTAATAAAATTCAATGATTTGCAAGCGTTGCTCGTTAGTAAGTCTATTCATGATGAAATGTCAAAGCATACTGAGCATCTTTCTCTTTGACACCATGTCTGAAATCCCACGTGATCTGTCAAATACTAATGCATGAAAATCCTAACCTCAAAAAAATCACCCGTTACAACATATAGAAAAAATCCAAAATTTTTCGTCTATATTTCGAATTTTTTACTCTGAATTTTTATAACAATTTAAAGTATGGAGTTTTAAAGCAAATACTATTTGAGTATAGCCAGCAATGTGCTGCTTAAAATGACCGTTGATTTTTTTTATATTTTTTTTCATTAATAAAAAATGGCGTTGATTTATTTTTTTGCGAACAATCATAGTGCGTAATTACATACAAATTTTTTATTTATATTTAAATAATCATTTAAAATATTTAGGCAATCAAAAGCTCCTCGGGATTCCAGTAAAATTAGTTTTGAATGGAGCGCCTTATATCGATATACATTTATACGTACATATGTATTTATATAAAAAGTATGCAAAGAAATTTATAATATATTTAAAGATAACTACGAAAAATAAATCGGGAACGGAAAGTTCATCAAAAATCTACCAAAATGAGAAAAAATTTACCTTTTTACCAACCCAAATTTTGTCTACCAATTTTGGTAACAATTTACCAAAGTGGCAACCCTGATTCCAGCCAAAAAAGAGAGGAACGTTGTATATCAAATTGATTGCATCGATTGTCAAAGAAAGAGAAGCTACAAAGACACTACCTCTCAGCAATTGTACAAACGATTAAACCAACACAATAACGATGTGGTGAACCAACGAATCGAAAAAAGTGCACTCGCTTACCATGCTATCACGTACAAACATAAATTTGACTTTGACGGAACAAAAATATTAGCGAGAGAAAGAAACTGGGAAAAAAGAATGCTGATAGAAGAAATACATATAAAAGCGGACAAACACTGAGTAAACAAAAGAAGCGTTGAGGCGAAAAACATCAGCTTATGTTTAGTTACTCACCATGGAAAATGACGAAACGTCAAAACTTGTTT